AGTTTGACTACAGATTTTTGAGAAAATTGTTTGTGTTATAGTCCATTCTAGTTCTACATTAGATCTTAATGCCAAAAACTTTTTTAAGAAATGAAATATGTATAGATGGGTTTGTGATATTTATTTTGGTATATCAATGTTTATTTATTTATTTAATTGTTTATTTATTGAATTAACGCCTGGAAGGCTTAAGTACAGGTACATAATTAGTAAATTACATTAGTATGATCAAATGTGTAAGATATAAAAATATAAGTAATGAACAATGTTAAAAATTGAATAATAATGCTTCAGGTCTGGTAGACTATTAGAGAAAAAATCAAAGTTACATAAGTTGTCTTTGTCAAAGATCCGATTTAAAGGGTTGTGTTGACCGTAATTTGTGCGGTGGGTTTTTATATGAAATGTTGGAAAAGATCTGGAAAAAATACTGAGACACGTGGAAGGAAATATGTTCTAAATGTGGAGGACATGTAATGATTCCGTTTAATAATTTGTGTAAGAAAGAGATATCAGCTATTTTGCGACGGGTTAAAAGAAAATCAAGTTTAAGATCAGTCTGGATACTGTCTATGGAAGGATTACCGAGGTTATTAGTTATGTTTCTTTTGTATCCGATGTAGCGAATGAATCTTCTTTGAATTCTTTCAATTCTCTCGATACTATTGATAGTACGAGGATTCCATGAATTGGCTCCATATTCTAGTACTGAGCGGACTAGAGAACAATATAAAACGGTTAGGCAATTTTTACTTTGGAAAGATGTGGTTGATCTAAATAGAAAACTCAATTTTTTGTTGGCTTTAGGCTTATTTGTTCTATATGAGATGTGAAAAGAAGATAAGACTGAAAAGTTACCCCAAGGTCTCGTATGGTATCAAGCTCGGGCAGGTGTATATTTCCAATGGAGTAATCAAATGCGACTTTATTTTTATTACCGAAAAAAGAGATTTTAGAGCACTTTGAAACGTTTAGACTAAGACCATTTAAAGTACAGCATTTTAAAAATGTGTTCAATTCATCTTGTAATATGGAGCACTCATTAAGGCAGGAAATAGTATAATATATTTAAGATCATCTGCAAAAAGTTTAAATTTAGTAAGGCAATTATCTTTATCAATCAGCAATAGTAAGAATAATGCAGGGGATAGTTGATCTCCTTGAGGTATTTCAGAAGTCACAAAAAATTTAGATAAGTACTCGTTAACTAATACTTGTTGGTAACGGTTAGTCAAATATGATTTGATCCAGTTTAAAAGGTTACCGATTATGCCAATTGAGTTTAATTTAAAAATTAACATTTCATGATCTACAGAATAAAATGCTTTACGTCAGTGTAAATAACATCGACTTGGAGGCCAGCTTCTACAGATGCCAATAAGTCGTTGTTGAAACATAAAAGATTTGTTTCTGTACACATACCTGATCTAAACCCGTGTTGAATAACTGAAAGTAAGTTGTTTATTGAACGTGATAGTGGTGGTTCAAGTAGTTTTTCAAATAACTTAGGGAGAGATGATAACTTGGAAACGGGTCTATAGTTAGTTACGGAAGACTTGGAGCCAGTTTAATAAATTGGAAAACATATTGATTGAATAAACTATGAATAAACAATATTTTATACTAATTTGGAGTCAATTCGCCTATTTTTACAAAAGATATACCATCTGATTCAATTGATTTATTTTTCCTTCTGAATGGTAAATTTAGAAATAGTAGACTTACTTAAAAATGACAGCTAATTATTATGTATACTTAAATATAATTACTATTTTACTACTTTTAATATATTTTTTTTAGTAGGTAAATAAATTTATACAAAACACTAATTAATTTAAGAGCACGGCAGTCCACTGTCTAAAATTGAGGCCTTAATTTTAGCCGTTTTAAGATGGGAGGATTTTAAAATTTGCATTTTTGTTACTGACTCACTGACTCACTCATCATCAAAATTATAAGACACTTCCCGTATAAAAGTAGAAACGTAAATTTGGCACAAAGGTGGGTCTTATAGTGTAAGTAAAGGGAAAATCTGGAAATTGAAATTTTCTCAAAATGTATGAGCCAGGTGGGGATTAATGAACTTCGTCGCACTACAGCAGGTACAGGGCGCTGTTGATGCCCAAGTCTCTAGTCAGCTATCATTTGGTCGTAGTGTGTGTCTTTGTTAATTCGTGTTCACATGTATGGCAGTGTAGCAGTGTTCTTTGTTCTTGTTACGTTTGTCACGTGGTTTATTATAAAGTGTTACTGTACACCTAAACGTTTAGGTTTCGTTTATACGTTTATAGTACTAAACTAGATTCATATTGGCTACTAGTATAAATTCTAGCTTCACTTCAAAGTGTAGTTGTATGTACATATATTCATAAACATTATGTACATATATACGTAGTTGATATAAAAACACGTAAAAACAAGAGAAAATGTACGACGTACAATAGACATTCAATGCCTCTTAAAAAAAAATTGTATTTATTTTTATTTGAGGGTTATTTGGTTATTTGCCACATGGCTCTAGCTTTTATTTTTTGCTCGATTAATGTCCTTATATGTGTTGGGATTAGGTTTTGCGTCACATTAGGATTAGGTTGTTTTGGTGTGGACAAGCACCAGGCTGTATTTTGAAAATTTTTTGTAAATGTTAGTACGGCATTGTCTAACTCATTGGTGATTTTAGGCGGGTATTTTGATTTTTTTTTAATAAGATTTGTTTGGGATAGTGACCAGTTTATTTTTCCATTTATTAGTGAAGGGGTTGATGAAGAAGTGATGTAATACTAAAAATATCCCTATTGATTTCTGCAGTTTCTAAATCCACAAAAAATAGTGGTAAATGTATTTTTGTTATTTTATGAGTGACATTGGTGATTTAACAAATATTGAAACCAATTTTTTCTATTGCTATCCCAATTTCTGTTGTTGGTGTGGTGGGGTTAAGATTTCTTATGACTATACGAAATGCTTTATATTGTTGCATTTGGTAAGTGTGGTATTCTGTTTTATTTTCTTTAAGATGTCGAATAGTAGCCCTTTATGAGTCAGGGGTTCTTGTTTGTATTTTTAGATTATTTTTGGTGGATTTAAAACTGAAATTTTCCGAGTTGATAAGTTCTATTAGATTAGATCTTAGTGTGACAAAGTCTAAAACACCAGTGACGAATATTGGTGGAGGAAGAGGGTTCGCTTAAGCTTTATTTTGTTCAGGATTTAAGTTTTTATTTTCTGGGATTTCAAATACTGGCGTTTCGTCTATAACTAAAGGTGAGAACCTATTTGTTGATGCTAAAATTTGTTTTTTTTTCTCAGGGGAGTCTGATGTTGAGTTTATTGTGGAGGTGCGTTTGGTTATATTTTTAGGCGTTTGCAAGGTGTGTTTAGATGAAATGTTACTGTAATCTGGAGACGAGATAGAGTACACGTTGAGCGCGTTGTATGCGTTTGTAGCTGTATTAGTGGTGTTGCCTTAACCATTTATCGAGGTGATAATATGGTTCGGCTTTGTTTTTTTTTTAATAGCGGTTATTAATTCACTGCAAAAACACCAAGCATAAAACAATGACAAGAAATGGCATATTGCCGAAGCTCAGTGGCTCCACGTGGGGTTGTAATCCTCACGTCTTAAGAACTACGGCGTTAGCCTTATGCTTTTCAGCGGGAGAATATGCTAGTCCAGTATGGGGTAGGTATGGCGCATCACATACTAAAAAAGTCGATGTTGCACTTAACGAGTTATGCCGAATCATAACCGGTTGCTTGAAAAATGCACCGGTTGAACAAAACAAGGCTGGTTTGGTGCACACTCAACAGACTTAGGACAGGAATAGGACGCACGAAAGATAACCTAATAAAACGGGGGCTGCTAGATAGCGCAGACATTTTGTGCCTTTGCAGAGTAGAACAGACAATCCAACACATCACTACATGCACAGCTTGCTCCCACACTTGCACCCCAGAAGTCATCCAAAAAGACACAAGGTAAGGAATTAACGTGGCATTAAATGTTATTTATTTATGTTTTACTGTTGTTACCATTATTATTACTACTGTTATACTAATGTTTTTGTCGTGAAGCAGATAAAATAACTAATTTTTTTCTGTTATAAGTATTATGTAATTTTTAGCATTCATACACAATAAAAACGTATAATCTAAAACATCAGCTCTTAAAAAATGTCAATAAAAATGTACATAACGACCTTAAACTAGTAATTGTTAATTACCAAAACCTAGTTTAGTCGAGAAAGATTTCTCGTTCACAGTTAAATTTTGAACATAAAAGTTAAATACACTATCGATATCCTGGTTTGACGCATGATAGGCCATTCTTTCTAAATCTAGGGCGTCTTCGGATTTTTCTTTTCCAGCGTTGAAAGCCGGCAAACAACGGGCCATTAGAAAGTCCAGTAGTATTTTGTTTGCGCATTGTATATGGTCTAGGAAAAAATCGTAGTCCCTTTTAAAATCATCTATCTTGACTGTTCTGTTATCGTACAAGTAGTTTGATTTCATGTATTTCTGACGGTCGTAGTGCGGTAGTAAGAATTCCAAAGCGTCAATGAGTTTTGTGGTGCCCATGTTTTTGGAAGCATTGTGGAAAAAATTCAGAACTTTTAGCATTTTTTCGATCCATGACTTATGTATGTCCATTGTTTCCCAAAACCGTTCCATGCAATCCAACATTGATGCGCTCGTACCCATGCTCATGCAATACCCTCCGATTACTTCAACAAATATATCGTTGATGAACTTTAGGTTTTCGCCGTAAAAGCAGTTTACGGTAGTCGAAGATTTTAGTAACTTGTCGGTGTAGTTTGCCAGGGAAACAATATTGCCGTCCGTTTCTTCTTTCAATAGATCTGACATGTCCATTAATTCGCCGTTGGTGTATTTTAGTTCTTGATCTTGGGTATTCGTTACCAGTACCCTCCATCCCTCCGCCTTCAATAAATTGTTTAATGTTGAAACGTGGTCTGAGTGTGACCATGATACAGGTTTACCTGCCGAGCACATCAGAAAAATGCAACCGGAAAACAACGAATACACGAAAAAAAGCGGTTGAATCATAGTGATTGGACTATAGTTTATAGTTATAATCCACGTTGTGCAAGACGTTTTTAAAAATCTACTAAAAAAGTATATTATACTTTTAGATAGTTGTAATGTTGCTGTAAGCAGTAAGTGTCACTTTATTTTACTCTATGTTCACCGTTAGGCTGCCTACGAAAACAGTGATACTTGTTTTTGTGTAAAGCAAGTATAAATGGCACTTCTAACTTCTAACCTAGATTAAGTCGATGAAACTCCGTATACGTGTTACAAGTTTATTTGGCGCATAACTTCCCTCCTCCACCATTCAGGTCATGTGTATAGCTTCTTCAGAGTTACCTATTGTGCAAAATATGTATGGCTTGTAAATAAAATTTAAAATAATAATAAAAAAAAATATTTCAATTTTGTTCGCAATTATTTCGTTTGGTAACATTTAAACTTTGTCGAATTTCCATAATGAATAATAATATTTATTATTAAATGTAACGTGATCAAAAAGCTAAATTAAAATGTTTAAAACAACTCCATACAACAATTGTCAACACACCTATTTGCCAATCTCATGTTAAACAACAGATTGACAAATCGATGGTTTGGAGTCCCTAAGACGGGTTAGTCGACGAAAACTAATATTTTACTCAAATAGTAGTAGTTTATGTTCATCCTAGAACAGTTTTATATAGAAAAACTATAAAATGTCTATCGCAGACAGCGAAAGCGGTGTAATGTCTATCGTAAGAAGCTATGTTACCGCCAAAAGGAAGCAGAAGACCAATGAGCTCCTATTTTTCTTCCTCGATGGACTTAACAGTAGTTAATTGGAAGTCGAGGACCACGAGGGGCGACACTTATCGCAAGATAATGAGTGGACTCGGCTAGTATATGGAGTCAGCCAAGGCGAACCAAAATCAAAAGATGAACTTTAGTAAGGGGATCGTCAAGGGCACAGCAGACAAAGCATTGGCTCTCGAGAGTCAGATCCAAGGGGAAGCTAACACCAGCCTCCTGGAGAAAAGGAGAGCGGCCAAGTCCCAAGTCCACGTAATCGGCCAATGCGATTGTAGATTATGTAGTTTACAACGAGGAGCATTTGTGCGTGTGGTGCGATCTAGCGGTCGTACCTTTTTACAATTTTTTTGTCCAAAATACAAAAAAATATTGTACTTGAATTTTCGGTACACATATAATTCTACATCATAAAAAAAACGTGATGGTTATACGGATCGTATTACTATAAGAAATCCATGGTTAAATGTTTTGATTACCTCTAAGCTCTGCATAGAAGCTAAAAATATTACTGGCCGATAACTACTGCTGACTAATATATTTATGCATTTGTCATGTCACTATTTTGGCGTTACACTTGCACTTTCAGATTACTTATAGAAGATAAGAGATTATATATTAGTAATAAGAGAAAATTATATGAGCTAACATATCCAAGATCAAATGTTTTTTTCTGTTAGGCAGAAAAAAAGCTGTAAAAGAAAATTTCATACTTGGTCTAAGGCATAAACACTTACAGTCTGTAAGTACATCAGTATGATGGAAAGGCGTCAAAGGCAGACAAGGAGTGGGCTGTCTTGCCTGCTAAACATCTGGCAGTATCGGCACAACAAAAATAGTACAGTTATTTTCAACTACTCAAATATAAACGTAAACAAATTTAGTCATTTCAGATACTATTTTGTATTGCGAAAATTAAACATGTGTCAAACAGAATAAAAATTTAGAAACCGTTTCTTACAACAACGAAAACGAAGAGTCTAAAACAGTAGCGCATAATAAATTACTGTAAAAATGTACATAATGATCTTAAACTATTAATCGTTCCTTATTAAACCCTAGTTTAATTAAGAAAGATTGGTCGTACACAATTAAATTTTTAACAAAAAAGTCAAATACTTTATCGATACCCTGATGTAACGTAAGATTGCTTATTCCTGCTTCAATTTTTAGGATGTGGTCTGATTTTTGGTTTCCGCTCATGCAAGTCGGCAAACAACGGGCCACGAGAAAGTCCCACAGTAATTTGTTTGCGCAATTCATCTTGTCTAGGAGATATTTGTAATCCCACATAAAATTATCCATCTTAACAGTACCATTTGCGTCCAAGTAATTCGATTTGTTATATATCTGACGGTCGTAGTTTGGTAATAGGCTTTCCAAAGCGTCGATGACTATTGTTGTGCCCAAGCCTTTAGAAGCTTTGTGGAAAAAATTCAGAATTAATAGCATTTTTTCGATCAGTGACTTATTTAGGTCCATTGTCTTCCAAAACCGTTCCATGCAATCCAACATTGATGTGCTCGAACCCATGATCATGCACTTGCCCGCGATTATTTCAATGAACATATCGTTTATGAATTTTATGCTTTCGCTGTAAAAGCAGTTTACTGCGGCCGATGATTTTAGCAATTTATCGAAGTAATTTGCCGGAGTAACAATGTTGCCGTCAGCCCCTTTATTTAATAATTCTGACACGTCTATTCCTTCGCCGTTGATTGATTTTAATTCTCGTTCTAGAGCATTTGTTACCAGTTTCTTCCACCCAACCGCCTTCAATATATCGTTTAATGTTGACGCGTTGTCTGCGTCTGACCATGAACCAGAATTACCGGCCGAGCACATCAGAAAAGGGCAAATGGAAAACAACGAATACACGAACAAAAGCGGTTGAATCATATTGGTCGAACTATAGTTTATAGTTGTGTTTCAAGACGTGCTATAAAAAATTAAAAATTATTGTTTTTCTAATTATATTTTATTTTTATCCATATTTTTCTAATTAATGGTATCGGAGTACTTACCACTCCGGTCGTGAATAGTTTTACTATTTTATTTTTTATATTATTTAACCTTATAAAACAATTATACGTTTTTATCAGTGTTAACTCTTTTCTGGATATTTTATTTTTACTAGCTTAAACGAGAACGTATTCAAAACACATTTTAAGTCGTATTATTTTTTGAAATAAGAAAATAAATATTTGAATATGTTTTTTTTTTGTATGCTTGTTCAAACAGTTACCTGTTTGTCATACGCCAATGCATGAAAAAAACATATATCCGTAAATAAAAACCACAGCTTTAACATCGACCTAGTTGTATTGTATTAAGTGTCTAAAAGCAATTTTTGACGTAGGGCTTATGTCATTGTCGCGAATTTAGTTTCATATTTGTATAGATAAAAACAATTATATTTTAAGACTTATACATAACTCTTGATCTGGTATGGAAGTTTTTGATTAATATATTATGTAGGAGTTTGTATTGTAACGGGTATTAAATATGTTAACATGGATATTATGTTTGTACTTACTACTTATTATGCTGGTTACAAGAAGTTGAATTAAGTTAGAATTAAGAGACTAGAAACAAATGAGAGGAGTTTAATGATAAGAGATAACATATCCATGATTGAGTGTTCTTGCTGTTGTGGTGTTATTTACAATTACTGAAAAATAAACGTTATACCATCAAATTGGGATGGCAACTCAAAAGCAACATTCGAATCGCATAGCACGCAAAGATGATTTAGTTAAATCCGAAAAATATTTTAATCATTTATTTTACGAAAAGCAAACATGTGTCAAACAGAACAAACATTTAAAATTGTTTTCACACAAAAACCAAAAATGTATAATCTAATGCAGGAGCTTAATTAGTGACAGTAAAAATATACACGACCAACTTAAAATGTTACTTGTTCCTGATCGAACCCTAGTTTGGCCAAGAACGTAGTCTCACATTGAATTACATTTTCGACATAATAGTCAATGACTGTATTGATACCCTGATGTGTCGATAGTTCGGCTATTGCTTGTTCGACAACTATGATGTCGTAGGATTTTTCGTTTTCGTAGTTCAGTTTCGACACACAACGGGCCATGAGAAAGTCCCGCAGTATTTTGTTTGCGCAATTTACCTTGTCTAGGCAATATTTGTAATCCCTCTTAAAATTATCTATCTTAACCGTACCATTCTCGTACAAGTAATTTGACTTGGTGTATTGCTGACGGTCGTAGTACGGTAGTAAAAATTCCAAAGTGTCAATGACAATTGTCGTGCCAACGCCTTTGGCAGCTTTGTGGAAAAAATTCAGAACTTTTAGCATTTTTTCGACCAGTGACTTGTTTATGTCTATTGTCTTCCAAAACCGTTCCATGCAATCCAACTTTAATGCGTCCAAACCCACGCTCATGCACTTGCCCGCGATTATTTCAATGAATAAAGCGTTTATGAATTTTAGGTTTTCGCTGTAAAAGCAGGTAATCGCCGTCGATGATTTCAGCACTTTTTCGGTATAATTTGCCGGGGTAACGATATTGCCGTCCGCCCCTTTATCCAATAGATCTGACAGGTCCATTACTTTGCCGTTGATTGTTTAATTTTGACACGTCTCCGTCTCCGTCTGAACATGATCCAGGGTAACCGGCCGAGCAAATCGGAAAAGCGCAAAAGGAAAACAACGAATACACTAGGAAAAGCGGTTGAATCATATTGGTCTGACTTATATAGTATATGGATATATTTCGTGTCGTGCTAGACTTTTCTGAAAGACAAACTAAACAGGTATGATAAACTGTTCGGTAGGTATAATGTTGTTTTGAGCTGTAAGTGTCACCCGTGAATATTTTTTTCACTTTGTTTAACTGTCCGTACACCGTCAGGCCAACCAAGAAAATAGCAGTAGTTGTATTCGTGTAAAGCAAATATAAATGGCATTGCTAACTTCTACCGTATATCAAGTTCATGAAAACTTCGTATGCATGTTACTTGTTCATTTGGCGGTTCGGTGGATGTCTTCTTCGCAATTCACGTCATGTCTATAGCTTCAATATGTTTAGTCAGTGTACATAATGTGTATGGATTTTAAATACAATTTTAAGACAATAAGAAAAAGAAAAAATTTATATTTTAGCAATTTTTTCGTTCGCTGACATTTAAACAATTCTTGTACTTTGACGTCTAAATTGATCAATAACATATATTTAAATTTTTAAAACAACTCCATAAAAAAATGTTCAAATATCAAATAAAATATATTCTGCATAACAAGTGTCACGATGAACAATTTTCTATTCGTTTTATGTGTAATTTTCAAGTTGTAATCTTTCTATTGTGAAACAGTATACGCCTCTCATAAACGAAACGATCGGTTAGCCTATCTGTTAAATTCAAAATTGATCAAAAACCTGTGGGCATAGTAGGAACGGATAGGTCACAGGTCTAGTGGTCTACATGGCAACATTATAATTGAAAAAGATAAAATCGTTTTTAAATAAACGCTTTGACGCGAATCTGTGGATAGTAGGTTCAAACCAGTACAGTCGAAATCAAGTAGCGCGAGAAAGTATTATTCATAAGGGAAAAGTAGAAGTAAGTATTAGTTAATGAGTAAGTAATAGAAGTCCAGCGTTCACAGATACAAATACAAATATAAATAAAAGAATTGTATATAATGACATTATCTGCTACTTATTTTTTAGTATCTCCCCCCTTTCTCGAAAACTTGACACCACTTTATGATTTTTAAATGGTAACCCCTATAAATAATTTCATTTTTAGATAGATAATATTATTTAACAAAAAAAATTAGATGTTGCAAGCTTAGTTCCAAGAAATAGTGTTAGAGCTATAAGCACCAGAAGTAATAGACGTGCGGTGAAGGGGGTAACCCATTTGTTTGGACTTTCAGTAATATTTAAGAGACGCTAAAGCCAATGTACGGATAGCTGCTGTACATCCAAGTTCCAATAAGAATATTTGAATGATACGAAATTTGAATGTATTTAACTACTTAGATTATAATGTTATAACCTTAATATTAATAAATATTTTGTTTATTGAATTGTCAGGGGCACCTGCTCTGATTAGTCTAATCCTAAAAAAGTTGTAACGCAATCCTTTGTAGTTTGTACTATTGTCAGAACGCTGAACGGACAACTGCAAACAATATGAAATTGTATTTTTAAAATGATTGTTGTAATATTATTTTTGGTAGGCGTATTGTGCATATATTATATGTTTATAACATTAATTACTGATTTTGAAGAAGATAAGACTAATCAAAATGTATAGATTTGAGTTATGTGCCTTTGAAACGGTATAATATGATGATATATAATATTCAAAATTGTGTTACATTGAAATATTTTCAAAAGATGAGATTATTTACCTTTAGGCTCTAACGCAAATAGCACACAATACAAATGTATCGTTTGCATATTTTACACCGGTTTACATTGTTTGCGACAAATGCTTTACTGTTTTGTATTAAACAACTAAAATTGCGAGTAAATCGAAAAAAAAACTACCAACGACTTATCGACGCGGATGATATTAAAACAAAATAATTTATGAATTTAGTATTTGAGAATTGTTTATTGATTTCTTTAGCGAAATATCACAATCTCAGGCGAAACTTTAAAACACAAAAAATATCGTTGTTTTATTAAGTTAATAGCAAAACACAAAAGTTGTTTTTCACAAGATTTGTATCAAAATTTATGTTTGTAACGTTTATACTCTTTTACTTGAACAATATTTTTTTTAAAAATATTTTTACTCATCTTTTAAGATGACGTCATACCCATTAACCTGAACCCATCTTCCTGAAAACCCTCCCCGTCGCCTAAAAAGAAAATGGAGTAGAGACATGCTAACCTAAACTCCACTCTTCCAGCCATCGGAGTTCCATCACTGGATGGTTTCTTCAAACAAGTGATACACTGCTAATTGTATTTATTAACTGTGCCATATGCCTATTGAACAGATTGTATGGTTTTTCTAATAACAAAATAATATATATATTTTTAAAATGTTTTATAAAATTCGGTTACTTGTTATAGTTTAGTAAGTTATAATAATTATCTAACGGGCGCGTGTGGTACAAGGACATATGATATCAAATACAGTGAAACTAACTCAGCTAGGAACATTTTCGCAACAATATTAAGTAAATAAAATGGCAGCACAGTGGGGTTTGGGGCATACCATCACTGCGTTTATTATAATTCTACATTTTCTACAAAAGCAAAAACCAATTACAGTAGAACTAATAAACCGCAACTACATAAGTGTACAGGAATGCCATAAAGTAATGTTACTGTTGTGCCGGATCGGTAAATTTTTGAGTTCAGGTTGTAAAAAAAAGAAACGTACTATAATTCTTCTCGTGTTCTTAAGAAAGAAATTTTGATCTTAATTTAAAAATTAAAAACAAAGCTCTTCGAGCTGGAAGTACTCGTTTTCATTCAAAATTAAATTTTTTAAATACAGAGCGATTCTTTTAGCGCCCTACACTAGTTTACTCAAAAACTACTGAGATTTTTACGAAAAAAAATCTATAATAATTTGTTTGTGTATAAAATACTAACTTATTATATAATATTTTGTTATTTGAACCTTCCCCCCCCCTTTCCTCAAAAACTCCACACTAATATTTGATTTTCAAATGGTAATCCCTATAAATAATTTCGTTTTTCGATAGATATAATATTATTTTTAAAAAAATGACATATGGCAAGCTTAGTTCCAACTATTAGTTTTTTAAGTATTAGCATTAGAAGTAATGGACGTGCGGGGTAAGGGGTAAAATATTTTTTCGGTCTTTCAGCAATAGTAGTGAGTAGTTTGTCCATTTTGTTATTGTTATTAATTATTATGATGTAACCTAAAAATTGCCGTTCTAATGAAATACTTAAATGTTAATAGTCAATAACCGTACAGCGATGTGCTATTTATATTAACACTAATAATAATATATTTTATAAGAAATTTGTTAAAAATTATAATTACTTAATTGTAGAATGTGATTTATTTTATATACATTAAGACTTGGGCAGTAGTATTTTTCTATGTTCAATGTTTTTTTTAATAAAAATAAATTATGTAAAATTTAATGTCAACGACATAACATTATATATCGTTGTACTTAAAACATTTGCAATATTTTTAACTATATTATGTAATATTAATTATCCAATTAAAAAAGTACACATTTATTACAATAAAAAAATCAAGAAACTGTCGAAAAAGAGTTAACATGTCCTATAATTGACATATAATGACTAACATTATAATTCTTTAAAATAAACCACCTACGTAATATTCAAATTTAAATTTTTTTATTTTGAATCTTGCTGAATAGTAGATATACATTTGTCATTAGTACATAACCAGTAAACCGCAAATAACAATATAATTTATAATTAATATTCCTGGTAGATAACTACTCTTGGATAATATATATATAGAGCGTGTACCAAATATTAAAAAAAAAAATGTTAGTCAATACTTTTTATGTAAATTAATATTACTGCAATTATTGGTCTCGGAGCACTTACCGGGTACCACATTCGGTCTTGAATAGTTTTACTTTGGGCTAGATACAAGAAATTTCATTTTTGCGTTACACATTCAGTTTCAGTTAGAGGTACGTGATAACATATCCATGATTAAACGGTCGTGCTCGGAATACATCCGGCAGCGGACCTAAATGACAACAGTAGTGGAGTCATTTAGAGCAACTCAATATTTAAACGTCATATGATTAAAAAGCTGATAGGAAGTCGATCAAGCAACAATCGTATCGAGTATAACGAAAAGATGACCAAGATAAATCCGAATAAAGCATCTTAATAATTTATTTTACGAAAACCAAACATGTGTCAAACAGAATAAACATTTTTAAAATGATTTCGTACACAAATAAAAACGTATAATCTAAAACAGGAGCTTGAATTAGGTAAAGTAGAAATATAAATAACGATCTTAAACTCTTACTTATTCTTCATTAAACCCTAGCTCGGTTAACAACGTTTTCTCACTTTCAGTTAAAGTTTTCCCATAAAAGTCAAATAATGAGTCGATACTCCGATCGAGGTCGGATATATTGTCTTCGCCTTGGCAAATCGGCCAACAACGGTACATGAGAAATTCCTGCAGTAATACATTTGCGCAATTTATCTTGTCTAGGAAATATATGTAATCCCTCATGAAATTCTCCATCTTAACCGTACCGTTATGGTCCAAGTAATTCGATTTGTTGTATATCTGCCGGTCGTAGTGTGGCAGTAGGCTTTCCAAAGCGTCGATGACTGTTGTTGTGCCCAAGCCTCTGGAAGCTCCGCGGAAATAATTCAGAACTTTTAGCATTTTTTTGACCAGTGACTTTTTTCGGTCCATTGTCTTCCAAAACTGTTCCATGCAATCCAACTTTAATGCGTCCGAACCTCTGCTCATGCACTTGCCCGCGATAATTTCAATGAACAAATCGTTTACAAACAATATGTTTTCGCTGTAAAAGCAGTTTACCGTGGCCGCAGATTTTAGTAGTTTGTCGAAGTAATTTGCCGGGGTAACAATATTGCCGTCCGCTCCTTTAACCAACAACTCCGAGACGTCTATTTCATCGCCGTAGATTGTTTTTGATTCTTCGTCTAGAATTCTTGTGACCAGTTCCTCCCAACCGTTCGCCAGCAGTATACCGTTTAATTTTGACACGTCTCCGTCTGAACATGGTCCAGAATTACCGGCCGAGCACATCAGAAAAGCGCAAACGGAAAACAACCCACACACGAACAAAAGCGGTTGAATCATATTTTGGTCGGACTATAGTTCAGAGGTATGTTTCGAGTCGTGCTCGACTTTTCTGAAAAACAAACTAATTTAACTGTACGTTCACCGTTAGGCAACAACCTAAGAAAATAGTAATACTCGTATTCGTGTAATGCAAATATAAACGGCATTTCTTACTTCTACCTTAGGTTAAGTCGATGGAAAACTGTACACGTGTCACAAGTTCACTTTTAACGGATCGATAGATGTCTTCCTTCCTTTGCCAAAAATGGTAGTCAATATGTTTATTATGTAAATTAATTGGATAATGATTATTATAAGAAAGTAAAAATTATTGTTTTTCTAGTTACCGGGTGATTCTTTTAACGCCCTACACTAGTTTACTCTTAAAATATATGCAAATTTGTATCTTTTTTACTATTTTCTAGAGTCTTATCAACTTTTAAATGGTAACGTTTATATATATTTTTAACTTTTTAAATTAACAATAGTTTGCTGAAAATATTGACTGGTCGATAACCAGTTTTGAATAAATAGTTGTAAAGTTATTAAATTTTAATATTTAGGACGTAAACTAGTGTAGGGCGTTAAAAGAATCACCCGGTATATTTTATTTTTATCCATATTGCTGCAATTATTGGTATCAGAGTACTTACCGGCCACCACTCCAGTCGCGAATAGTTTAACTAATTTTTTTTTTGTAATATTGTTTAACCTCTATGAAAAAATTATACGTTTTTATCAGGGTTATTCCTTTTCTGAATATTTTTATTTTACCAGCCTACACGAGAACATATTGAAAACACATTTTAAGTCATGTTATTTTTTGAAATAAGAAAAAAACATATTTTAAAGTTTGTTTTTCTGTATGCATGTTCAAACAGTTACCTGTTTGTCATACACCAATGCATGAAAAAAAACATGTTTCCATAAATAAAAACAACAGCTAGTTGTCGACCTAGTTGTTTTGTATTGTGTCTAAAACGAAAAAACACCATTATTATTATATTTTGGAACCATTTATTTTTAATTAAGCAATTATAGACGTAAGGCTAATATCAGTGTCGCGACTTCAGTTTCATATTTGTAGATAACTCTCCATCTGGTATGAAATTTTAAAAGTTTCTGATTAATATATTATGTACGAGTACTCGCGTTTGTATTGTAACGGGTATTAAATATATTAACATGCATATGTTTGTACTTATTATTTATTAGGCTGGTTACAAGAAATTTCAAGTCGCCATTGTCGCGTTGTACGCTTTTGTATTATATATATATACCATATACCACAATCTGTCTTGAATAGTTTTACTATTTTATTTTTTTTATAATTTAACCTATTTGAAAATATTATATGTTTTTATCATTATTAATACATCTCTAGATAATTGTATTTTACTAGTTTACACGTAAACGTATCAAAAACAGAGTTTAAGTGATGTTTTTTGTTAAAAAAGAAGAACCGGCAGTAGACCTAAATGACAACAGTAGTGGAGTCATGTAGAGCAACTCAATATTAAACGTCATCTCAGATGTTGCCAGCTCAAAAAAAGTCGATTAAACAACTTCCGTATCAAATAACACAAAATGAAGGAAACTTACTTAATAACTAAAAAAAAAAATTTAGAAATTTCAGATACTTAGTTATATTACGAGCAGCATATGTCAAACAGAATAAACATTTAAAAAAAATGTTATTCAAAAACATAAATGTATAATATACAACAGAAGGTTTTAATTAATGACAGTAAAAATATACATAACGACCTTAAACTCTTACTTACTCTTCATCAATCCCTAGCTCGGTTAGGAATGATTTCTCACTTTCAATTAATAAATTATCATAATATTGAAATAATGAGTTGATACGTTGATCTGGCAAAAGAGCATCCAATGATGCTTTGAGACCTGCAATGATATCGGATGTGTTGTCTTCGCCCTCAAACGAACAACCGGCCACGAGAAAATCCTGCAGCATTTTGTTTGCGCAATTCATCTTGTCTAGGAAAAAGTCGTTATCCTCTTTTAAATTATCTATCATGATCGTATCATTTTCGTCCAAGTATTTTGATTTGGTGTAATTCTCACGGTCGTAGAACGGTACTAAAAATTCCAAGGTGTCAATGACAACTGTTAAAAGTAAGCCTTTTGAAGCTTCGTGGAAAAAATTCAGAACTTTAAGCATTTTCATGAGCAGTGATTTATATTTGTCAATTGTCTCCCAATACCGTTCCATGCAATCCAACTTTAACGCGTCCGATTCGTGGCTCATGCAGTGGCCCACGATTACTTCAATGTATATAGTGTTTATGAATTTTAGGTTTTCGCCGTAAAAGCAGTTTACCGTGCCCGCACATTTTAGAAATTTATCGATGTTATTTGCCGGAGTGACAATATTGCCGTCCTCTCCTTTATTCAATAGGTCAGACAAGTCGATTTCTCCTTCGTCGGTTGATATTGATTCTTCATCTAGGATTCTTGAGAACAGTTTCTCCCACCCGCTCGCTTTCAACATATTGTTAAGTTTGGACACGTTGACTGCGTCTGACCATGATCCAGGATTACCGGCCGAGCACATCAGAAAAGTGCAAACAGAAAACAACCCATACACGAACAAAAGCGGTTGAATCATATTGGTCGGATTATAGTTTAGAGGTATATTTCGAGTCGTGCTAGACTTTTCTGAAAAAAAAAACTAATGTAACTCTACGTTCGCTGTTAGGCAAGCTATGAAAATAGTAATACTTGTATTCGTATAAAGCAATTATAAATGGCATTTAAATTAAACACATTTTAAGTCTAGTCATATTTTAAAATAAGAAAAAAACATATTTAAAAGTCTGGTTTTTTGTATGCTTGTTCAAACAGTTACTTGTTTGTCATACACCAATGCATGAAAAAAAACATGTTTCCATAAATTAAAGCTATGAAAATAGTAATACTTGTATTCGTATAAAGCAAATATAAATGGCATTTAAATTAAACACATTTTAAGTCTAGTTATATTTTAAAATAAGAAAAAAACATATTTAAAAGTCTGGTTTTTTGTACGCTTGTTCAAACAGTTACTTGTTTGTCATACACCAATGCATGAAAAAAAACATGTTTCCATAAATAAAAACAACAGCTTTAACATCGACCTAGTTGTATTGTGTTGAGTTTCTAAAACGAAAAAAAAAAACATTATTACTATAATTTTGAACCGTTTATTTTTAATTAAGCAATTATAGACGTAGGGCTATTATCAGTGTCGCGAATTCAGTTTCATATTCGTATAGATAAAAACAATTATATTTTATTCATTGTTTTCAAAAGTAAAACAATGAATACACTATAAAAAAACAAAAAGCCAGTACAGTCGGGTCGGGGCATAGTGGGGACGGAGAGGTCACAGGTCTACAGATTTTATTATCACTGAAGGTGATAAAATTATTTTTAAATAAACGCTTCGATGCGAACCTGTAGATAGTATGTTCAAACTAGTTATAGTGGTTTAGAAGATACCACGGGGCCAGCAATAATGTACTTAAAATTTAATATTTTGTCTTGTGCAGGGTGGATACGATAAGGGTTGATCGTCTGTCTACAAAAATGTACTGTCATAGTTACCCATGTATCGTAATTAACAATACAATGAAAATATGTTCATTACCCGTTGACTGTTGATTCACACACACATAGCAACCTAGAAACTGACTACGGCCAAAGTGTAAATTAACCATATCTTGGGGGTTTTTCCTTAATAAAAAAAAAATTTGACTACAGATTTTTGAGAAAATTGTATATGTTATAGTTCAATTTTAGATCTACCTCAGGTCTAATATTCAGATTTATTCCTTTAAGACTTTGCTTGAAAAAGTAAAATAAAGAAAAGCATTCTATCCCTTCTTATGGGAAAGGGTTTATGATATTTTTTTGGTTTGTTAATGTTTATCGATAGTTCTATGTTTGACGAACAATTCATACAAATTTGGAACGTTTTCGACTATTTTTAAAAAAGTTATAGAACATCGTAATGTTAAGTTGAAAAATTTGTAAATTCTTTGGGTGTTTTTCTCGATTTTAATGGAGAAGTGGTGACTTTTTTCTTGCTCAATGAAGTACCTTTCAGGTATGATTTCTGATCTATAAAGTTGCTACACGAAGAAATCGGTTCAGCGGTTTACGAGATATCGTGGGTCCAGACACAAAAATAAAAACACATCATTGTAAAAACAATACCTTCTCAGCTCCGCATCGAAGCTAAAAAATATGCGTATGGCGTATTGCCAGTTCGGTCGCCGGGTTGCATGGCATTTCAGCCAAGCATCCGGAGTTGATAGTGTGGGTCGCCGCTAAAAATCTCGAGTGGTCACCCATCCGAGATCAAGCAGCAATGGACACAGCTTAACCTCAAGTACCATGCGGCACCTGAGATGTCCACTGCGCCACCCCTCCCGATGGTATATATGAATATGCGAAATGGTCGGTTTGTCGATCTGTTGACATTCAAACTGATCATCAGTTTAAAATTACATTTTTAAAACCATTCCATACTATAATTAGAGTGAATACTACTATCGTCCGATCGTTAAAATATTATATTAGTGCATAAAACTTGCTGAATTGTAGGTTTTACTCTTGCTATAAGTACATATTTAAAAAGCTCTTGGATAAATATAGTGTGTACCAAATATTAAAAAAGAAATGGTAGTCAATACTTATTATGTACATTAATTAAATAATAATTATTATAAAAAAGAAAATTTTTGTTTTGTAATATATTTCATTTTATCCATATTGCTGCAAATATTGATCTCGGAGCACTTACCAGATACCACATTCGGTCTTGAAGAGTTTTACTATTTTTATTTTTTTATCATTTATCCTTTTTAAAAATATTCTATATTTTATTATTGTTATTCCTTTACTGGATAATCGTATTTTTACTAGTTTACACGGAAACGTATTGAAACGCATTTTAGGTAGTGTTATTTTTTTAAATAAGAAAAAAGCATATCTTAAAGTGTTGTTTTTTTTTGTATGCTTTTAATGCGTTTTTGATTATGCAAAAGTTTCTGATTAATATATGTAAGAGTACTTGCATTTTCGTTTCATGTCGCATTTGTCATGTCACCATTTTCGCGTTACACGTACAATTTTAGTTACAGAGAAGTAATAACAGATACGTGATAAAAGATTAATATTTAGAGGTGATAACATATCAATAATTAAACGGTCTTGCTCTGGAAGCATCCGGCAGTAGACCTGAATGACAACAGTAGTGGAGTCATGTAGAGCAACTCAATATTACACGTCATATCAGAAGTTGCCAGCTCAGAAGAAGTCGGTTAAACAACTTCCGTATCAAATAACACAAAACGAAAGAAACTTACTTACTAACTAAAAAAAAAAAATTACAAATTTCAGATACTTAGTTATATTACGAGAAGCAAACATGTGTCAAACAGAATAAACATTTAAAAAATGTTTTATTCAAAAACAAAAACGTATAATCTACAACAGAAGGTTTTAATCAATGACAGTAAAAATATACATAACGATCTTAAACTCTTACTTACTCTTCAACAATCCCTAGCTCGGTTAAGAATGATTTCTCACTTTTAATTAATACATTATCATAATATCGAAATAATGAGTTGATACGTTGATCTGGCAAAAGAGCATCCAATGATGCTTTGAGACCTGTAATGATATCGGATGTTTTGTCTTCGCCCCCAAACAAACAACGGGCCTCGAGAAAATCCTGCAGCATTTTGTTTGCGCAATTCATCTTGTCTAGGAAAAAGTCGTTATCCTCTTTAAAATTATCTATCATGATCGTATCATTTTCGTCCAAGTATTTTGATTTGGTGTATTTCTCACGGTCGTAGAACGGTATTAAATATTCCAAAGTGTTAATGACAATTGTAGTATGTAAGCCTTTTGAAGCTTCGTGGAAAAAATTCAGAACTTTTAGCATTTTCATGAGCAGTGATTTATTTTTGTCAATTGTCTTCCAATACCGTTCCATGCAATCCAACTTTAATGCGTCCGAATCCTGGCTCATGCACTGGCCCACGATTACTTCAATGAATATAGTGTTTATGAATTTTAGGTTTTCGCCGTAAAAGCAGTTTACCGTGCCCGCAGATTTTAGAAATTTATCGATGTTATTTGCCGGAGTAACAATATTGCCGTCCGCTCCTTTATTCAATAGATCAGACACGTCCATTTCTTCTTCGTTGATTGCTTTCAATTCTTCATCTAGTGTTCTTGTGATCAGTGCCTCCCACCCGCTTGCATGCAACATATTGTTAAGTTTGGACACGTTGACTACGTCTGACCATGATCCAGGATTACCGGCCGAGCACATCAGAAAAGTGCAAACAGAAAAAAACCAATACACGAACCAAAGCGGTTGAATCATATTGGCCGGACTATAGGTAATAGTTATTCTTCGAGTTGTGCTAGACTTTTCTGAAAGACAAACTAAACCGGTAAGCTATACTATTAGGAAGGTATAATGTTGTTTTGAGCTGTAAGTGACATCCGTAGAGTAAGTCGATGGAAACGTATACGTGTTACTATTTCATTTGATGGATCGGAAAATGTCTCAATATGTTTTGTGAGTGTATACATAACGTGTATAGATTGTAATTACAATGTTAAGTCAATAAGAAAAATAAAGAATTCATATTTTTGCAATTTTTTCGTTCGCTGACATTTTAACAATTTTTGTACTTTGTACTTTTGTATTTCCTATTCGTTTTGTGTATAATATTTCTATTGCGAAACTGTGTAAGCTTCTTTTACACGAAACATCGGTTTGTCGATCTGTTGACGTCTAAATTGATCAAAAAACCCATATTTAAATTTTTAAAACAACTCCATACAATAATGTCCAACACACCTATATATTTATCCAACAATGTCATGTTAATCAACATATTGACAAAGCGATCGTTTCGTATATGGGAGGCTTTCAAAGTTTACGTTCAAGAATATCTATTGTTGTGTTAAACTTTCTTTTTCCTTATATTATTATATTCCTCATTGATGGTATTCTTGCTTTTAAAGTTATTTTTATGCTTATAATATTATCTTAAACCATTAAACTTTTTGATTTTTTTTTCTGCCTAATTGTAGTTTTTACACTTGCCATCAGTACATAACCGTTAAACAGCAAAAAAACAACATAAATAATTAAAAAAGCCAGTACAGTGTGTTCGGGTATATTGACTGGTAGGTTAAGTCTATATGTCAACATTATAATTTTAAGGGATGAAATCGTAGTAAGTATCGTTGTAATAAAATGAGTAAGTAAAAGAAGTCCAGCGACCACAGATAAAAATACAAATATCAATAAAAGCATTGTATATAATAACAACTGTGTGCTTAAAAATGACTTTTTAGTGTTAAGGTGGACACTACTATAGTTGGCCGCCTGTCTATAGAAATGTATTGCCATAGTTATCCATAAATCATAATTAACAAAATAATGAAAATATTTTCGTTGCGCTACAAGTTTCTAAAAAGCCAACTAAATAGGTATACTATAGTAATAATTGTATTTGTATAACGCAAAAAAAAAGATTGTAGCTCTAACTTCTACCGTAGATTAAGTCGATGAAATACTCTGATTACGTGTCACAAGTTTATTTGGTGGATCAGTTGTATTCCCTCTTCCTACGTTCACTTCT